TATTAATCATTTATTGTATATTTTAGATAAAAATTTTGAGATGCAATATGAAGAAAAAGAAAAAACAAGAAAAACGGAAGATTTTAAATCAAACAAAATATATAAAGAAATGGATACTGTGAGTGGATATTGGGATAAATCTTCGAAAAAATGGATTCGTATCTATGACCAATACAAATATCCTGAAAATGAAGACAATGAATGTAAAGGGATGACCTTAAATCAATTTCTTCACAAATGTAAAGACCAGAAAAAACATGTAATAGAACTAACATCTAGTTCTTCTTCTTCAATACAGCAAAATATTAATCAGAAGTTTGAAGATTCAAGAAGTAGTCCGAATGGAAAAAGAAAAAGAAAAAAAAATATTGAAAATTTCCAACCTAAATCTAAGAAATCTAGAAAAATGATATTAGATGTATCAGATTCGGAATTACAAAGAATAAATAGAGTTCGTCGATTTGCATCACGATTATTTAAAAAGGAAAGAAAAATGTACAATATGTCACCCACAATTTCAAAGGACACTAAATCTGAACATACAGTATTTCCATTAAAAAAAGTAATTAAAAAGGAATCAAATGATAGAATAGAAGATTGCAAAAAACAAAGATTGGACGAAAGAAGAAAAAAACCTGTGATTAAATCAATAAAGATAGTAAATTATAATATAAACAAACACAATGAGCAATTATAAATTGTTCTTAAATAAGAACAACTTTATTTATATGTAAAATTATATTTATTTAGAAATAGATTCAGTATTATAGAATGCTGAATAATCTTTAATTTTCAATATTTTTTCCACAATGGAGATAAACGTTTTTTCTTAATTCTTTATATATATATTTTTGTGATTATATATTCAAATTTATATTTATATAATTAAATTTACATTATATTTTCGAATTATGATTCGAATATATGTATATGTTTGCATCTAAAAAAACAAATTAAGAATGAAATTATGTAAAAATAATATTTAATAATTCCTATTTATTATTTCTATCATATCATCTATTAATATTTCTTAATTTTATATGCAATTCCAAAAAAATTACATAAAATATACTTATTGCTTAAAAAGAATTGTCATTATAATTAAATTTTTCTATAATTCACAGAATGAAAAATATAAAAACAATTGAAATCTATTGAAAGATAACTTTTATATTGCAAAAAATATAAATATATGAAATAAATAAATATATATTTGATGTATTTAAAAAATGTTTATATTAACTTTAATGAAATTATATTTTCCTTAGTTATTTATAATATTAAAAATGTCATAGAATTCATTTTATTATTATTTGATTTTTTCCTCATTTTCAAATTATAAATTGCAATACTTTATTTGTCATCAAAAATATTCACTAAATTTACTGTGCTTTCAATAATATTTTCTATCCTTTTTCATCTTTAAAAAGCGTCAAAATAAACGACATTCGCATTAACGGTATGAGTTTCTTTTTTGGCTTTATACGAAATGTATTTCTTAAGATGTTACAATTAATTTGGTTTAGTAAGCGAAAAATAACGAATTCATTAAGTATATATGTGAAAACTAATACGGGAAATACATTTGCTGTTGATTTGGATCCAAAATGGGATATAAAAAACGTAAAAGAGTTAGTAGCTTCTCAAATGGGAACATCACCTGAAGATATAAAAATAATATTTGCAGGAAAAGAACTACATAATTCAACGATAATAGAAGTAAGTTTGTTTTGCAAAATTATTTACTGACAATCATGTTTTTAAAGTATAAAGCAATTTAAGTATGATAACCTCACTTAATCAAATTTAACCTCATTTAATCAAATTTTGTATTGTAGGAATGTGATTTGGGACAACAAAGTATATTGCATGCAATTCGAACTCCATCACAAAGGTTAAATAAAAATAAAAATACTAATATCATTGATGAATCTTTTGAAATTTCTGAATTAAATGATAGTGGTGGAAAGCCAATGAACGAAACTCTTACTGATTTACCTTTAGATGAATCAGATCTACAAGAAAATTCATCCATGGAAGG